TCCAATATGTTAACATATTTTCAAAGTTATGATAGCTTCCAGGTCTCTTTTATTTATGTGATATCACTAGTTCTTAGACTGACATCAATATCAGAAGAATTAGTAACATCAAATGTGCATTCTTAATAAAATGTCCCTAGCTTTAAATAACATTAAGAAACTGATCAATATCAACCTTTTCCTCATCCTTTTTAGAATTCTTTTCCCACTTCCTATTCCTGCATATCCCCAGTATTGATAATTTCAGAACAGCCTATGCCTGTGGACATAGAGAAACAAGCAAGTTTCACCTAGAATGTACAAAAAATGCTAGTTAGGTGAATTGTGGATACTTTTTACCCAAATTCCACAAACCATCAGAACAAATGTGTGCGTAAATGTGGATATCCTTTCGCATGGGTACTGTTGTTTGCAACTCTTGGGCCTGTGGTTGAATATGATGTACCCATGTAATTTGTTTCAGATTACTGATGTCCATCAAGACAGATTTCAACAGCTTTGCTTTAGAAACATGGAGCAATCCATATGCATGTGCTTCTGTGTTTATGTGGGAGACACAAGCCTATAAATCTTTCATCATAAATGACAAATTATGTCCTTTCCACATGTTCCACTCTCTGCTTCTCCTGCAACTCATATGCCGTTTCCCAAATCTAATCCTCCAAATGTTGTCCTTTCACCTTCTTTTAAATGCAACTGATAAAGTGAAGTGGCATTAAACCAAACCAAAAGATTTTTTTCCTGGTGAGCATTTAATTGAACCCACTGCCTGGTTTGTCTTTAAGGAAGAACACTCACAGCCTAATAATGTTCCTTTAGCACAAAAGGAGTATCATGTGCTAGATGAATCAAAATGTACCCAAACTCATATTTTTAAAGCTTCCATTTAGCCAAAAATATATTTCTGCATGCATTATCCACATGCAGATATTTTATGCCATGGTGAGCCCTCTCCAGAGAAGCATGAAGAAGAACTGAGTAAGATCCCATATGTTTCTCTAGCGGAAAAAAGCAGCAAGGAAGAAGAATCCTATGCAATCAGCAATAGCAAGACTGCAATTAAAATATTTTTATAGGGATTTTACAAAGCTGTTAAAAATTTGCCCTGAGAAACAAGGTTTTCCTCAGAAAAGCCTTTAAGATTTCTGATGTAAACCAGCATCCCCTTTGTGGCTATTGCAGTGTTATTTGAAGATGCATGTGATTCTACACATCAGGAACACGGTCTTTCTACATCTAGACATTTGCAAGAAACGTTTTAGCACTTCACTTGTACTAAGATAAAAATCTTCATATTTCAAAAATTTGCTACTTTGAGGTCAAAATGTACTCTGCAAATTAGGGTTTCTAGGTGAAGACCCTATTGAGTCAAAAATGACCAGGGTACTTGTGTCACCAATGAGCTATTTTAATAAAGGCTAAATGGTAAAAGTGGATGGAAAAATCTAAATTAATATTCCATGTTTTCTCCAATTAATTTTTAGGAGGATGCAATTTCACCTCTGAAATTTTTCCAATTAATTTTTTTTTCTAAATAACACAACTCTTAAAAATATCAATACTACAACTCTTCAAAACATAAAGGTAGTTCTTGGCAAACAAAAATTACCACTAACATTTTTATTAAAATATGTGGAAAAGTATCTTAATGGAAAAAATGGAAGGCAGCAAAAATTCTTTGTAAACCACCCTTCATGTTTTCAGTAATTTCAAGCAGTATTCAAAAATTGGGACCAGCTATAGATCTAACTAAACATATTGAAATTATATGTTAAAATTCCTCTGAATTTGTAATATAAAAATTTACATATTTTATTTTCCCTTCTCCCAAAGACATACTTGTGTTGCACTTCAGTAATATATGGTATTTTAAGACAATCAAATGGAAGATTATATATAATCAATTCTAACATGTCACATGATGTTCATTACAGCATTTATAGTTTTAAGGTATTTTTCTCTTCATAAGCAACTTTTTCCTGTTCTAACAAATACCAGACGTGACATTGCTGCAATGTGCCAATTGGAGTGTAAGCCTATGAGGAACACTGAAAATAGAATGAAAGAATTTAACAAATTTACTTATTTCCCTTCCACATGCTGTTACAGTGGCTCCTTAAACTGAGGTTTTCGACACTGGTCTCAAATCCATTTGCAGAGTAACCAGGTCCCTTAATATGTATTATAATGTCATTCCATTACTCCAAGACCTTCAAGAGGATACTTCCTAATTTTCCTGAAAAACTATCTCCTAAAAGTTTGTCCCAGAGACTGAGCTGGTTTGTGGAGAGCAGCTGAAATTAGAAATACTGATGTGTTATCTGTGATGGACCCAAGAGTCACATTGGGCATATATTGACAGCTTTACTAAAAAATGTATGGCGAGTCTTTCTTGAAATAGAGACTGCTGTGGATTAGGAAAAGAGTGTGTACAGTTATATTCATGGCAGGCATAAACATTGTGTCACTCTGTAGATACCAGAATGTGATCAGCTATACTTTTCAGTTCTGGAATTGATCTTAGGTTTTTATTGCAAAATGTTTTAATACTTATTAGCCTACTCTGAAAGGTTTTCAATGTTTACTTAAAATTTCCAGTCATTCTTGAAAACTCCTTTTGGTAATATACACAAAGGGTAGATAATGACGGTTGTCAAAGTAATACATAATGATTACTCCAAGAAACATTTTCTAGCATCCACCTACCTGCAGTCAAAATGAATACAAGCCAGATCCCAATATTTTGACCCAAAAGGTAAAAATGAGTTATAAACAATTATATAGAAAAACTTACTCTTATTCTCTGTTTACTCTAAATGTATATGTAGTTTGGTGTTGGGATTTTTTTTCAGATATATTTCTGTGCTGTAATCCAGCTAGCCCTGAAATGCATGGGTGCCCTTTCACTGACTGTAACTACAGCTAGATCATGCCAATTTTAAAAGACAAATCTTTTACATGGTTGCTTTATGAGATGACTTTTACAACGCTGACTTCCTGTATAGAGAAATCTTCCTTAAGTGTAAATTTGAAGATGCAGTACACAAAATTTTCCATAGCAGAAATTTTCCATTCTCTTTTATCTTCATTACTGCACTTCCCTATTACAAGGGAGGAATGGTTTACAGCCTACTTGCAGTGTTTACTTTAGCTTAATCTAAATAGTTGACCCCATTAAATCAATTTCAACTCCTGCCCTTTGCTTTTACTTCAAATTCAAATGCTAGGTTAGAAATGAGCAAAAACTTGAAAGTAATCTATTTAAAAACAAAAAAATAAATAAGTTAGACCAGAAATAACCTCTACCTCCAGCAGCACAGATTTACTTGTTTAGTAAACTGCATAATACTGCAAATTGAAAAATAGAGCATGACAGCTTTTGTTAACTCATACTAATTATATGCTATCATACCTAACACCTTAGTCAGATCTTAGGCATCTGAAAGCTACTGATTGACAAGTCTCATTTGAAACTCTAACAAACTTTTAAAATAAAAAATCACAGTTAGTAGGTTGCAGAATATGCTCTTAGTCACTATCAGTCATGCTCTCCAGTCCCAATGGGAGAATATAGTTCATTGTTAGTTATTTGAAGTGTGATGCTTTACAAAAGCCCTGAGATAAAGACTCATGCTAGATAATGGCTCAACAGCAAGAAACCTTTAGGGTTTAGGCTCCTAGGCTCTTACAGGGTCCCACATGGTAGTTAATGTTAATAGGCCAACAGTGTGGGTAAGGATGGGCTTTCAAGCAAAATTCTCTTTCCAATTACATATGAGGTGGAGGAGAAAGTACTTGTGCATGGTCCTCATGATTTCAGTGATCAGCCACATCCCAACTAGCATTTGTGATAATCTCTATCTACTCTGAGAGAGAGAGTGTTTAGGTGTATATATTTATAGAGGCTCTTCTCTTTGTGATTTGTAATTTATAGGCTCAGTGCCCAAAGCATTCAACAGCCACTCATAATTACATCTCACATATAAAATACCTACATTATCAAAGCTATAAGGTCCAGAGCTAACTACCTAGGCAATGCCCAAATGAAGGCTGCCTCTTCAACTTTAATTGTCTCCTTATATATATGGATTATAGTAGGGCTTCTAATTGCATGATGACAGCAATTTTTTACTATCCTACCATTTCCTTCATCCATGCATGGAGTGGGCAGCGCTCACTTAGTGAGCCAGTATTAAATATTTTGCTTTCTCCTCCTTGAATGCATGGCCCCAAGCCATTTAAATCCTGTTCAGAAGATACTTTCCTCATGGGTTTTTTATTGGTGCTTCGCTAAAGTATATGAATACTTCACAATATTAATGGATTTATATGTTCACAAAATTCCTACTGAATGAAAATTATGTTTCTCCCTGCTCCACAACTAAGAAATTAAGACATAAAGTGATCAAGAGCAAAAAAAAAAAGTAGCTGTTAATTTTAAATGCTCAAGATAAGACAACAAGAAACTGAGTTTTAGAATAGTTTGCATCTTGTCAAGAATAATAATCACATCATGTGTTCCACTGATATCTGCAAATATCAGCTTCCACTGATATCTGCAAATTAATCGACCACTTAAATATTTCTACTTCTCACAGCCTCAAAAACTGCATTCAGGAAAAGAGAGACTGCAGCTATTGAGCTATTTCGAAGTTGAGAAAAGGATTGTTTTAGTGGAGAAAATAGGAACTTAGAACAAGCAATCTGCGGCAGCAACAGAGCTGTAACCTGTGTCTTTGGGGCACAAAAGACAGCAATCTTTTCTTGGTATCATTCAGTCCAGCCCTTAAATTCTGTAGCATGTAGAATATAAGGCAGTGACCTTACAGCAAACCGCATGTTCTACTACCTGCTACAGATCATCTCTTCTATTGAGTGATTTTCTTTCTCTTTTCTTTTCTAGTCTTTATTATTATTATTATTCTTTTTATATCTCCTTCCCCCTTATCTATTTCTCTGTTCTCCTCCTATTCTCATCTTCATTTATTCCTTCTTACCAGCTCGTCGGGCAACTCTTCTCACTGTGCCCACTCTGGTGACAGCAACTTCTGAGGATGACATAGACCGGAGACCCATCAGAAGGCTCCGGTCTAAGAGTGACACCCCTTACTTGGAAGAAGCTCGGATCTGCTTCAACCTTGATAATGGTAAGACCACACCTTCCCTAAACAGCATATGATGGTAATTAAAGCCCTCTTTTTGAGATGGACCAGATGGTACCTCCTCATTCACAAGCGATGTGGTGGTTCACCAGACATCCAAAGATGCCAAGGCTGTCTAACTACAAGCACCTGCATATGTGTGAATGGGGATCATTTTCAGAATTCTTCTGCAAGTGCTAACTAAAACTTTTTTTTCTGTTTTAGCCAGGGTGAGCTAGTGAGATCACACCAAAATAGAAGTGATTTGCAAACAAAATATATCTTATCTATTCCAGGCATCCAGAAATATGAAAGTTCTTGAGAACAATTATGAAGGGATTACAGCTAACAGCAGACTTGAGCTAAACCCAATGTTACAGCCATTGAAGAACATGCAGCCCAACCCAAAACCTCAATAGGACTAATTGGCAAACATGTAACAGAAAGTCCTTGACTCTGCAGGAATGAATAAGAGAGCTGTCCTTCAAAATTCAGACCAGCTAATGTTATTATCACTGCCTTCAGAGTTAGTGAGATCCAACATTCATTCCCTGGTCTTTTTTTTTTTCATTGAAGTTGACCAACACAAAAGACTTTGGAAGTGCTGACAGCTTAGTGACTTTAAGCAGAGTGGGTTTTGGTATTTTTTCTAAAAAGCCCTGAATTAAATTACATAAGCTAGTACACTCTTGGGTACATATTTTAACTGTCTAACTCTTACTTTACTTTTAGTACAGCAGTACTTTTTTGCTACACACTTTTTTTTAAATAGCATTTTTAATTATTTCTATTACACTAACCAACCAAAATTGGAGCCCTAATGTGGCAGGCAGCCTAAAAACCACAGGGTAAGAATGTCCACATAAAGAGCTGATTACTAAACAGAGAAACAGAGATTCCACAAAACACCAAGCCCAGTCTGCAGCCGGAGAACGAAGTCTCTGGTTTTTGCAGATGGTCACATTTTTCTCAAAGACCTGCCGAAGCGACTTAGGAAGGCGAGCCCCGGGCTTTGAGCGATGGTCAGTTTCAAACGTTGAGTGCAGGCTCCTCAGTCCCCTTGGCATTTTAAACTGCCAAGGTATGGCACACCGTCCCGCTTTACGCAATGGGTTTGCCCAAGGAAGGAGGGCAAGGAGGTGAAGGCATGCACCGTTAGACATCCCACCAAGTGCCGCTGCAGCTGTGCTGTGAGTTCCGGACGCCCTGGGCTAGGAGGGAGCATTCGGGGCGCCGGGCTCGCTGCGGGGTGCCACCTCTGCCGGCCAGGCCCACCGGCGGCGTTCGGCACCTCAGCCGGGACCTCCCCTGGGGCTCGGCCGGACCCTGCCCGGGGCGGGGGCCGGCAGCGCCGGGGCCGGGGACACCGCTCCGTCCCCCGCAGCGGAGGCGGGCGGGACTCGGCAGGGGCAGCGGGCAGGGCCGCCGCGGCCGCTCCCGTCCGCAGATCCTTGACGGGTTTTCCCTGTCTCTCCCCCTCCCTCCCTGCGCTCCTTTCTCCCTTTCCCTCTCTCCTTCCCCGTCCTCCCCTCCCCCTCCCGCGCCTCTCTCCCTCCTCCCTTCCCCTCTCTCCCCCTCCGCCCCCTCCTCGCCCGGCCGCCCCGCGCCGCCGCTCGCCCTCGCCAGCTCGCCGGGCCACGCTGCTCACCGTGCCCACATTAATGGCGGCATCTTCCGAGGAGGACATCGACCGCAGACCCATCCGCCGCGTCCGCTCCAAGAGCGACACCCCCTACCTCGCCGAGGCCCGCATCTCCTTAAACCTCGACACAGGTGAGAGGCGGCCCGGCCCGGCGCGACCGGCGGCGGGGGGAGCAGGGAGGGAAGGGGCCGCCCCCGCCCTCCGCCCCTGCCTGCGCCCCCGGGCTCCCCGGGCTCCGCCGCCCGGCCCTGCCCCGGTGCCCGCGCCTTCGCACCTCGCCGGCCTGCCCTGGCCCGCAGACCGGCTCCCCCTGCCCCTCGTCTCTCACCTGGGCGAGCCGGGGCCGGCTGCCCTTCTCGGTTCAGCCCCTCGAAGCTTCCCCTCTCCCAGAGCGCCGCCCTCTCGCCCTGCACAGCGTGGTGGCGCATCCCCTCAAGGCTTCTGCACTGTCCCTCCTCGCCAGGTGCTGGCATCCCTCCTGGAAATGCTGCCCTTGGTGTTTTGCAAGTCTCTCCCTGGCTCGCTCTTTGCTTTCTTCCCCTGATGGGTTTGTGCCTCAGAAGTGCAAGGAAACTTGCACCTGCGTTGTCCACTTAGTTTCATGAGGTCCCCAGTTGTCTCAGCACTGCCTTTTGGGACTCTTGATGGGTTAACAGCCTGATGGTTTCTATCAACACACCTCCAGCTCCCTGCATTCATTTCCTCCTGCCTGTTATTGGGATGAACCTCCTGCAGTTCTCTACCTGACCTTTTCTTCCCCTTTCTCCACTACTGTGCCTTCCTCTTTGCCACCTCTTCTTCATGACTCCCTTGAGATTGAAGCTGTCCCCTTCAGTTCGTCCTGCACATGATGAAACTATCCTGTTTCTTTCCTACTAGGCCTGTGGTTTTCCCTCCTTACTTGACCTTTCCTTATGAGCTCTATCAACAGCCAACTAACTACACCAGAGGTTAACTGCTCTCAAAAACAAAAGAAAAGAAAGTTCTTTCTGCTGGTTCTCTGCACCAAACCAGATTTCCTCTATTTGGGAAGGAGGACAGCATGAGGGAGGATCTGTAGCCAGCAGTGATGCAGCCTCCCTCATGTCCCAGCAGTAGCACACAAAATGACCCAACTGTGTAACATTCTTTGATGCTGAGCCTGTGAGCTCACTGCCAGCTGTAAAGGGAAAAGAGCTGCCTTGGAGTTGCTGCTCGTCCTGCTGCAGTCTCTTCCATCCCTCCTCCCCCTTTTCAGCTGGCAGAAAGTTTGAGATGGCAGAGATGCATTTTCTTCTCCATTTGGGGATGGAACAGATTCCCCTCCCCCCTCCTGTTTTCCCTGCTGCAATTACACCCTTGGTAATGGCTGATGCGCGATTTGGTTTTACCACTGGCAGAACAGTTGGTTACATTGTATGGCGTGTCATTATTTCTCTCTGATCACGACTTCTAAAACATAGCCAAACCATGGGTAAGTTGGATGGCATTCCAGGGCACAGGCTGGAAGACCATGCCAAGTGCCAGGTTTAAGCTCTATAAAGAACTGGAAGTCAAAACAGAAAGAGCATCGCTGTGTGTAAGGTGTAAATAAAAAAAAGGCTGTGTATGGTTATTTGACTGCTGAAATAACACTGTGCTGACTTGTGTTCTCTCAGGTAATGTTATGACATGTAGTTATAAATAGATAAACCAGCTAAGAGCAAGGCACCTTCAGGTCACCTGGTGCCTCACATCTCTATGCTGAGCTAGACATGCTGTCTTTGCTACAAGTCCCAGAGGATGTGCAAGTCTCAAGGTACCTCTTTCCTGCAATCCACCAAAGAATATGGTAATTACACTTAGCTTCTTTCTGTTCCTCCCCTCCCCCTGGCTCTCTATAATTTGGGTCTGTACTTGCGAACCTGGGAATGGAATTCCTTAAAAAAGAAATAATTAAAAGAAACAGTACTGGTGTATCAAGAAGTATAAATGAAAAATGTTGTAAGTAGTACAAGTGTGTGTTTTCATTAATCCATCTGGCAGTGAGTAGTAAAAAAATAAAATTGCTTAGCAACCAGTATTGAGTGAGTGAGCCAAAAAGCAAGTGAAACATGCCGCTGATACCCACTTCATTTCTGAGCTGTTGGGTTTACTCTTCTGTTTGCTCGGAAAGCACAAACCAAGCTGCCTGGGTATGAGAACTCTCTAGTCTGAGGGAAAAGCCACTGGAAAATGTGTTTGGCCACTTTTGCTCATGCTTGATAATGTCACGCAGCTCAGGCTTTCCTTTTGAAACTTACTGTTTGTGAGGTGCAGCGTTCTTGCCGTTACTTTTTTGCCTCTGTGTGTGGGGACGGGGGCGAAAACACCCTGTTTATAAGCCAGCCTGGTTTCCATTTGCAGTCCCGTTGCTGGTGTCCCTGCCGCTGTGCCACAGAGGGTCCCGGGTCGCCCTTGGTGTCCCAGTGCCCTGCAGGCGGAGGGGCCCGACCTCCTGCCCGGGAGCCCAGGGCGCTGTCCGCCGCCCCCGGTGCTGAAGCCGCTCCGCCGGGGGTGGAGGGCGCCTGTCCTGCCTTGCTTGCCTTGTTCTCCCTGTCTGTCCGCTGGCAGCCCGTGTGTGTGCACAGGGATGTGTGTATCTTTGCCTTTGCAGGGGGAAGTTGGTAGGAAGGAAGTAAAGCTGTTTCTTCAACCCACGGATGCAGTTGAAGCTAAAGTGATGCTCGGGGCTCAATAAGGAACCTCTTCCTTGTGTGCTTATTGCTTGCTTTCCGTTTAGTGCATTCTGTATCTGCATTTGCTGCTCAACCACTGCTTACAGAGCTATTTTTCCTACAGCTGCTGTGAGTCAAGCTGCATTCCCCAGTCATTGTCTTCTGTCAGGACATGGTCAAAGTTTGGCTGCAGCAAGCAAGATCTGCTTTGCGTCTTGGAACTTCAAATCCACTTTTATTAAAGAACCATAACCAGATACAGTGAATACTGCTCTTCTCCACCCTTAATTGCAACCATTAGTTAAGAACTATCAGGTTTTTATCTACTTCAGCTGTGAGTTATAATTATACCATTACTGCTGTTATCTGTATTGTTGAACAACTGAGATTGCAAACAGTCAATTATACAGTTTGGTTGTAGCATGTGTTTGGTCTGGGTCTTTAAAAAAACACAATTTGCAAGTGATTAACAGTGCAGCTTCCATCTCCCCTTGTCTTTTAATTATATTAACAGCTCTGCTTTGTTTGATTTTCCAAAACATACTAGTTTATAATGTTTGCTTCTAAATATTGATCAATTAACTCAGAATTATTACCTAGCATGAGTTGACAAATGCTGTTCGATTAGTTGTGCCTGGTATGGTTTTTGTCTCGTGTTCCCAAACTGATTAAAATACCCACTTGTTTTCCAAACCCAGGGTTATTCTCTCTATTATTATACATATGCAAATCCTATTAATCTGAGTTATGTGCTCATATCAAGAGGATAATACTTCCCAAAGGATTAAAATTACCTCTTCTGCCAAAATTAATGTAGCTACATAATATTGTAAAGCTATAGGCAGCTATAAATTCTTTTTCCATATTTGATACTAAATTAGTTCCATACAGAAATTAATTTTTTATTTTCTCAACAACTTCCTTCAGTGCAACACTAGAGGAATGTAGAATGTGCTCTCACTTTTGGGGTGGTGGTCTTTTGTTTTCTTTATTATGATTAGCAATCTGGCATTTCTCCATCTCTTAACATCCATCTTTGGCTTTTCATACACATCTTCTTAAAAGCAGTTTTCAAATTGTCTTTCTGACTTTCTGATTCAGGCATCTAAAGGCTAATCCCAAATTACTTCTGAAAGCTTGTTCATCTGTGACGGTTGCCCAATAGCATAATCACTTTCCCGGTCCTGTGCCAGCTGATAAGTTCAAGTGGTTTTTATCAGTTTTGACCTATTACAGGTTTTGGCTGATTTCTGTTCTTCCTGTTGCAAAATACTGCACTTTTAAATAGCAGTGCATGGTAGGTAGCTTCCAAGCCTGGTAAATTGGCAGAGGTGATGGCTGATAAGGAAATAGACTGCTTTAAAGTCACTAAATGATCCAAGATGTATGAGCTTTTCTCCTCCTTCCCCCTTCACAAAACTGCTTGGGGAATCCCTGTCAGAATTTTATTTATGTTTGTTAGGGAAGTGGGGGACTACTGCACTGAGTTGATCTGGTCAGGTTCTTTTAGCCTTTCAAGTGTTAGTCATTATTGAAGCTATTTCTATATACAGGTACTCTTACTCCTCCCTAGCCAAAAAAGAGTAAGCTTTGCACTGCAATCCTCTGCAAAGCTGATTCTAACAGACTGACTTCTTGTTAAGTAGTGCAAGAAGCTGTCTTTGTCTCAGCTCCTCAGTCATTCAGGGAAGTCACCAAATGTCGGCTTTTGTTTGATCGAGGCTGATTGTCTACTTATTTAACCTGGGAACGGAGACTCGGGGAGAAAGCAAGCCAATGCCTTGGAGAAGGTGTAAGGCCAAAATGACTGGAGTAGCTGTACTAGGGGTCAGCAAAGAGGGGATGTTCCTTCAGAAAGAATTAGCTTCCATGCTGTGAAATGGGGAGAGGGGAGATTTTGAATGTGAGTGTATTCCTCCCATCCTGACTTTAAAGTGTGTACCAGTGGTGCAACCAAACAGAAGCCAGAGGAGCAGCAGGAGTGCATGAGCTGGCCTCTGAAGAGAGAGAAGAGAAGGGGGAAAGAGGTAGTGACAGACAAAACTCGATAGAGATGGTGCAGCCTGTGCAAACTATGGAGCCCAGCTGGCTCGCTCGGCCCTGGAGCGTAGCAGATTTTTAGTGCACTGAAGTCACTCAGTAATCTCACTGAAGTAGCTGGATCCTCAAGTAATTTAAGTCATTTGTTGACTTCAGCCAGGGATCTCAGCCAGACTTTAGAAATATACATCTCTGCTACCCTTCAGTGATGAAAGATCTGTTTTATCTCTTTGTGCTGTGGAGCCACATGTTGTCTTGGAATGTGTTCTAGGAAAGCAAAGCTGAGAGGGAAAGGACTCAGTGGTTGTGCATAATTTTGCTATGGGTATGGAAGAAGGGTCCTTGTGTCTAGAAAGGCAAGTGAACATGGTACCATTTACTGTTCTTAAGCAGTGATGAATAAATCACACTGGGGAGAGGAAAAAATCTACGTCAGCCTGTGTTAGTGCTGCTGCAAGCAGAATTAATTCACAGGGTGTAAAGAGGGAGGAGGATCCTGGCAGAAACTGCTGAATGGCTGAGACAAATGTTCACAAGCTGGGAAATGTTCATGGTCGGCTGTTTCTGTCATGCAGAGCTGGTGGGGCAAAGCCAGGACACAAAGGGTGACTGTTAGTTTTAGATGTGGGAATTTATTCGGTCTGGACCAGGCACAAATTTGAAATCAAAAGTGTCTTCCATTTTCAGTGTCCTGGCACCTTCCATGCTCTGTTTGGGCCCTAGAGTTTCTTACAACCTTCATGGTAGGCTGCCTCACTGTTCCTGTTTGTGTTGCTATTTTCACTGCATTATATAGCTCTAGAGCTATGCAGAATACTTTTCAGGGATCAAAATGATGTATGATTTTGCTTTCTAATGGAAAGATAATGTTATTTGTATATTAGCCTCATATATGTTGATTTGTCTGGAAGGATGTGATACATTTTGCTGCAGTGAACAAGGAGGAGCTTATGAACTTAATTTTGTTACTTTGTAAAATAAGAAGGAATATTTATATGGCTCACTGAGGTGGGTAAATTGTAAATAGGTGAAAATAAAGTGAAATTACTTGACTGGATTTTCTGCAGGAAATCTCCATCCCATTAATTTTTAATTTTCTCTAAATCCCATAATTTTATTTTAAAGTCTGTTTTGAAGTTTCTGAGTTTGCCCCTAGTCATCCTTACAAATGATTTAACACAGTTAATCATCTCTGCAGTCATTTGAAATGATATCACATTTGGAGTTGAGCTATTTCTTCCCTGTTTATTCAGTATATGTTTGAATATATTCGTAACAAAATACTCTGCATGGTTTCATGATATATTAATAAGTGCTCCCTAAAATTATATTCAAATTTCAACAACTTCGGATTTATGGACCTCACAGATTAGAAACAATGTGGAAAGGTTAATCGGAAGAACATAATATTGTTTTAAAAATATTTTGAAATTATGGTGGCTTTAGGATTTCAGGTAGAAAAGATTGGTCTCAGCAGAACAGGAGAGAGAGAAATAGGCAGTAGTAGGCTTTCTAATATGTGTGGGAGGTTTTATTTCTTTTTGGAGAAAGATTAGTAAAAATGCATGCCTGGAAAATTTCCACTTTTTGCTCTGCTCTAATCACTCCCTCAGATTATTGTCATGGAGATCCTGTCGTACTTAGGAACCCAAACCACAGGTTTTGGCAAAGCATTTCTTAATACCTTTATAAAGGGGCCTGGAGAACTGGCCTCCTTTGCCATCAGGTGTTGCCTTAAAAAACCTTGTGACTGTGCTTTAACTGACTGATGACTGATAGTCTTAATGCTGCTTAATTTGGAGTATAGCTGGAGATCAGATGTGTGCCTGTCATTCATTTCCTGGCTGTTTTGCAGCCCTGGGAGCATGGGTACACATACCAGGAAGAATGAACATCCAAGCTGAAAGCCACCCTTCATGTGGTAAGGATAGGTCATTTGAGATTACCTGCCCTTCCTAAGGGCTAAGTGCAGTGGCTGAAAGCACCTCAACAGGCAGTTTAGAGGGGAAGGGGTCTTATCAGCAACTGAGGTTTTAACTCTTGTACTTGACTTTGGAGACTTAAGAGAGTGACCTTCACTGTGTGCCAGATAGGAATAAGTTTACATGTTCCCCAAGGAGAACATGTTCCCTTGTTAAAGGGGAGAGATGTCCCTGCTTCACCAGCTGTCATCTAATAGGAATTTTTGATGTAGACTAGAATGAACAAATATGACTGAGGACAGTTTGAAGGGAAGAGCGAAATTAGTCAAATTGATGGGACTGGCAAGAGTAAAATGATAGAAGATCCATTTCTCTGAGTGCTGGAGATGTTCTCATGTTATGATGTTCTTGTGGCACTGCACATATGCATCACCTTTCTGAGTCGGGGCAGCTGACACACATGCAGTCAATGGCATCAACATTGCTGTGAAACAGCTGTGACAGGAGATGGAAGGAAGGTATGTGCTTGCTTTGGGATCAGAATATGCAGAGCTGATGTCTTGTAAAACTCTCTGCAGTGTGTGACTTTAAGGCTGCTGTAGTGCTTTGTTACTAATCTGGTCCTTCAAGAAAACTGATGCTGCAGAATTTGCCTGGATAAGAAGTTATCTGTATGTTTGTGTTTTGCTTGAGCTTTTTGGGTTAACACATATTCCTGTAAGCTGGGATGATGCAAAATCGTTTTATTTTTTTGTTTCATCAGGAACCATGATTTTCTTCTTGGAACTACGTCTTTAAGGAAACTGCATTTTTCCAAAACTTCAAAACTGACAGCCCTGTTCAGAATTATTAGCCGTAAAATCTAGTAAAAAGAAAAGGCCTAATCCTTGGTAACAGGTATAATTAGCTTTAATACTTAATTACTCTGAGTCAACTAATTGGTTTCCTTGGGACTACTCAGAGTAATTCTCAGACCTAGGCACGTAAGTGTCTTCAGAATCAATCTTAAAGTTGTTAGTAAGTTTTTGCAATGTGACAAAAGGCATTAGTCCAGAAAGAATGTCTTGGGCTGTCTGTTTTCAAATATAAAATGTCAATGTTAATGAAATATTGTGTTATTAGAAGTTATTTCATGTTCTTCTGCTTTAGACCATAGAGCCAGTGCGAAATGTTATATTTCCATAGTGAAATAAAACTTGGCTGCCTTCATGCTTTCTTGATGATGAATGTTCGTGACTGTATCTCTTGTGGAGAAGGTGCAAAAAATGTCACTTTTAACATTTTAATCATATTAATGTGATGTATTTTATATAGTAATACAACTTCTTGATGTAGTCCACTAAAATGTTTTCTTCATTCAGAATATTATTAGGGTAAAATTATTTATAATCATGCAATAACCATTTTTAATCATGCAATTCTGTTGCCTTCATTTATAATGCATTGGCGGTCTTATTTGATATTGATATGCTGAAGCCATAGCTGGACCCTTGGTATATGGTCACCATCCCTAGGTTTCATTGTAGAAACAATGTTCCTGAATGTTTAAAAGAAGATAATTAGTGCCTTTACTGCAAACTGAAATTCCAGTTCAATGTATAAGAATGTGAAGATGACATCCAAACAAGAATTTAATGAATAGCAAATTCAGCAAGAAGACAGGGAGGCAGAGTTTAAAAATTAAGTACTCATGTTTCTTCTGCATTCCAGATTCACTGTGGTTTCATTCTGGTTATGAAGTACATGAGACTAGGGAAGCATGTGACAAGAATTTGCATATACTTGTGTTTTTATATACTGTATGAACACATGCCATTTTAACTGTGATTGATAAGAACTGCAGTGCATATTTTGGTTAATCAGAACATTCTTGCTATGCATAATTTATGTTGCAATATCATTTTTATGGTTAGTGATACAGTACTTGGACAGACAGACATCTGGTTAATAGTTTATAGGCAAATTAAATACTTGATGTATGATTAAAATGAAAGAGAAATTTCATCAGGGCTAAATCTAATTCTATGCTAGAATGTTGGAAAGTTGTTTAAAGCCTGACTCAAGCTTGATGCCCCAAACTGGGAGGACCTGTTTTGATGTGGCACTTGTCCACCTACCAGTGTGTGCTTATTTCTGTTCTATGGGTAAAAGGACAAGGAGTCTACTGACAGATTTGAGTACTGACTGGGGTGCATGTCCTTGAGAAGAATGTTCCTATATTCCCTCAGTCAGTCAAGTGTTGCAATGGTGTTAAGCCATCAGAAACAGCGTTAAAAGACTCCCTTTAATCTAGTCCCATTTTGCTAGAGCTTTGCACTAAGCAATAGGAATCTCTCTCAGAACAGAAAATAGCCCCCCAGTTAAGAAGAAATGGGAAATTATTAGTCATATTGCACTATTCCTTGAGAAAGATATTACTCCCATCTGACATCTGTAATGGACCTTTGTTTTTCTTGCTGAGATCACTGGTAGTGCAGTTTTCATACGTCATTTTTTTCTTCTGTCTTCTTTGTTTTCTTGCACTAGAGAAGTGCTGGGAACAAATGTGGAGACCTTGACAAGGCTGTGCTCGATGCATGAGGCATCTGTCAGGTTTGGAGGAGAACGGCTCTTCCCTATGCCCAGCCTCATTTGCAGGAGCACATGGGTGTAAAGGTCATGTTGTGCAGTGTGCTGGTGAAGAGGTCTGTAGCTGACTGTCTCACGTGAGCTCTCAGCTCCTGGATTCTGTGGGGTTGTGTTGTTGTTGGCATCTCTCTTTTCCTGTTGCCTTTTCCATTCTCTGGTGTTTTATCAGGGCTGTGTATGTGGGTAGCAGCAATATGCTGGCCTGCAGCTTCTTGAGGGCCGTGCCTGCTGTCTTGGCAGAGATGCCATAGCAGCATTTGGTAAGTTGGGAACTATGACTTTAAAAGGTCACCGTGCATCCTTAGGAGCTCTGATAAAGAGCTATTAATCTACGTGGTGCTTCCATGAACCCAGTTAAGGCAATCGTTCCCCAGAGCAATGATCACTTCTGCTCTCTGCATAGAGACTGCTCTTCTGGTTGTGGGTAGAGGTGGAGAGTTAGGAATAAAGTGCATTAAGCTGCTAATGAGTAGTCATTGTTTATATTTAAAGCAGTTTAGCATGTTCATCCATTCAAGAAAAATTTAATTTTGTCTTAACACTTTCTTTGTTCATCATCCTTTATTACTTACACTACACATCAAGGCTCTTTTTAGATGTGCTGAATGTTTTTTCAAAAATCGTTAAAAGATTTTTTCAAAAATTACTTTTTTCAGTATTATTTTTTTCACAATGACTTACTAGGTTGAAGTAGCAAATTAAAAAAATGAAAAGTAAATAATCATTTTAATTTTCTCTGTGTGGAAGAAAATCTTTCAAAGCTAATAATAAAAAAATAGCTGGGGCTAACTAATTACATGTAAAATGATAGCCTATAATTATAAGGCAAGAAGAAATCAATATAAAGCTCGATTTGTAATTTAGTCTTATCTCAAGGCTCAGAAAAACAAACCATTCTGTGAGATAAATTTTACAAGATTGCTTCACATAATATTTTTTTTTAGCTAATTAGTTGATAAATTTTATTTACTTTTTAAAGAAAATAAGATAGGCATCACTGAATAACCTTGGGCTTTGACCTTGCAAGCTTTCCCCTCTGGAAGCAGTTGGTCTAACAGCTTTGTCAATATTAAAGGAGACCCAAGGGGAGAGTGGTAAAAATATTTGGTTGAGAAATACTATTACACAGATGAAATACAGCTTTTTGTTAACATGATTCATGACATAATAGTAGGAAACCAGGGGAAAGAACCACCAGAATTAAGGTAATGCAGGACACGTGTTGTCATTAAAACATGTCAAGGCTTACTAGACTTAAACTGCTCGCAGTTAGTGCTGCCCTAGGCAGCAGAAACATGATGTTAGCAGGTACCCACCCAAGTGGCTGTATATATACCTAGAGGTGTGTGTCAGCAGCCTGAGGAGCATGCAGGGACCATCTGTTAACCAGCAGGAGTCTAAAAGGCTTAAAGTGGGCAGCAGAGGGATCGCTCTAGAAGTTGTGCAACTTACTCTCTCAATTACGCAAGTCAGTGGCAAGTAGACAGGTCCCAAGCAGTGATAGGTGTTCCTTCCTGCATTGTAGCTGTTCCAGAAGATGTTTCTTCCATGGCTTTTGGCAAGGCTTATTGACATTTGTACCCAATTGTGATTTAAAAAAGCACCTAGTGTTGAGAGGGAGCAAAATGCAGGGCCTGCTTCTTTATAATTTTGAAGATACATTCTGCTTCTAAATCTCATTTTTCCCTCTGTTGCTAAAATAAAACATGGTATCAGCTATATATCAGTGTGTTTGATAAGGCAGCACTTCGCTTTCATTACCGCTCCCAACAGAAAGAAAAAGATTGTTATCAGCAAGAGGTAGATGGATATACTGAGGAAGTGAATGTGGTGACAGTATTAGCCATACATAAAATCCAGAGCTATTTTAGCAGAACATCTTCCAAAACATCTGACTCCCATGCAACTTTCTGTTACTGTGTTAGTAAACATTTGGTCCTGTTGGTTCACTTACGTGGGACTATGACATTATGTGTATGTGTGCAAGAGAGCTTTAGTGTACTGCAGTCACGCGTGTATGGCCAATTTCCCTTGTTGAATGGTATGTTGTGGGTGGTTTGCTTGTGGGAACTGGCTGTTTTACCCCTTTTAGGATTTTACACTGAATTTAAGGCAGAATCTGAAAGTGGATTAATCAAGGAAATATAGGTTGCATCTTGAAGAAGGTGTTCTCGGTAGTTTAGACCAACTTTCATGTTTTGGTTTAGCTGGTTTGCTGTCTTAGAAAAAGATCCAAGGCTGTATATGAAGGTTCATCTATTAGTTTTATTAGATGGGAGGGATAATATTCCTGCTGCTCACAGCATGGCCCCATCATTCAGTGAATACAAGAACATATCTGTTGTCTTTCCCCTGTGTTCAAATGTGCCTGAAGACTCAGGATAAGTAATTTCCAACCTCCATGTACTTTCTGTGGGGAAGAAGCTCAGATGACCTAGAAAGGATGTAGAAGGAAAGGGTTAGGATGGTGAAGAGGACCTGTATTGTGTCTTTCTTCAGTCACAGGGGCTTTAATAAGTAAGCTTAATAATTTTATTTACTAATGATTCTTCCAAATTTTGATCAAGACATTTTCTGGGAAGAACAGGTATTTACAGTGTAAGGGGGAGAATGGCCAAAGTGGTTTCAACCATTCAGATACACTTTTTTCCCTGCAAAGGATTTTTGGACTGAAGAAAGATGTTCCTCTGTGCTAGAATCCAGTGTGCTGTTTCTTGGTTTTTCTGCCTAAAGGACTGTATTTTTTAAATGTAATATCTCGCATTGCTTCCCATGGGACATTATCAAACCAGTTTCTATAAATCTCTGTGCACAGAGTGTTTTATGTGAGACAAAGATATTTTTTCTTCAGATACTTTTTGCACCTTGCTGTCCAGCTGCATGTGTGTTTATATATATCCTTGGAAGTTTTTATTCTCGTCTGTGAATGAAAACCTTGAGTGCTAATCTCTTTCTTCTGACAAAATCCTCTGATGCTTTTCCCTTAGGAATCCCCTTCCTTAATTCTGTGCCATTCTGTGTGGTAAGGAGGATGCTGTCTCTGAAGGGCTTATCCTCCCTTCTGAAGTCTGCGTCACAGTCATCTTTCTTTTGAGATTGGAGAACTGACACATTTGTAACAGTTTCTCTGTACTGGTATTCATACTGGATAGAGAAGTGACTACAAAATCCAGTAAAGGTTCCTTTTCAACCCTTTGTGTACTGGCTCAACAATACCCTGAAACTATGTTGGCCTCAGAGCAAAGGATGACACATATATTCTGTGCACAGAAGTTTCTTACGTCATTGCCATATCTAGTTGCTGCACTTACATGATGTATCCTGTGAGGATTTGTGTTGTGTTTGCTATTACATGCACCTTGCCTTAGAAGCCTTTCCTGGCATCTTCAAAATTAAGTAAAAATTATGTATTTGAAAATTTTTTCAGGTTTCTTTCTCCTCTCTCTCCCCTCAGGAAAATAATAGAAAATATGAACAGGTAAGTTTCCTTTTAAAGAAGTTTTTGAGTAGTTCACAGTGGCTTGAAAACAAATGAAAAGTATTCAGATAAGTATGTCTGACTGTCTTCCTGTTCTTTTAAATAATGTGTCTCCCCTACAGCCCTCTTATGTACTAAGATTTTAAGTCCCAGATGGGTAGGGAATAGTTATCTGCAGCTCTGCTTACTTTTTACACTCTATCAGAATGAGTCTCCCAAAATAACCCTTAAATGATTGCAGGGTAATTAAGGTTCACTGGTACAACAGTAACTAGATTTTATATTTAATTAGTCTCTCTGTAAAGTAGAGTTGCTGCATCATATTTGAAATACTCTTTGATGATATTAATGAAATGTCTTACAGGAACTTTAGCTTGATGGTCAGTGCAGTTAGTATTTAAATTTTCTGCAAATTTAAATTAAGCTTCTATTGCACAGATGATATAGCTTCTGATAGATCAATATTACAGCATCCTTGTTCAAATACATACATACACTATTACAGTTCTGTAGCCATGGGAAAGAACTGCTGCCTCACAAATGGCTTACTGTGACTCTGGAAAGACCCATTTCAGGAAAACACTGATGCATCAAGATTTGTCATTAATAAACATTAGCAGTATGTTCTGAATTCTTCTCTAAATTGCAGAGGAAAATCTGCTGTCTGGAGACCAACATAGAATCACAGAGTTGTTTTGGTTGGAAGGGACCTTTAAATATCAATTAGTCTAACCCCACTGCAAAGAACAGGGAAATCTTAAACTAGATCAGGTTGCTCAGAGCCGCTTCCAGTCTTACCTTGAATGTTTCGAGGGACAGGGCATCCATCTACCACCTTTCTGGTCAACCTGTTCCAGTGTTTCCCCACCCTTATTGTGAAGAATTTCTTCCTTTTATCTAGTCTAAATCAACCCTCTTTTAGTATAAAACAATTTCTTGTCCTACCACAACAGGCCCTGCTAAAAAGTCTATCTCTACCTTTCTTGTAAGCCCTCTTTAAGTACCAAAAGGCTGCCATTAGATCTCTCCATCCCCTTCTCTTCTCCAGGCTGAACAACCCCATCTGTGTCTGCCTTTCCTCATAGGAGAGCCGTTCCATCCCTCTGACCAATTTTGTGGGCTACCTCTGGACACACTCCAAAAGGTCTGTGTCTTTCTTGTACTGAGGACCGCAGAGCTGGATGCAGTATTCCAGATGGGGTCTTGTGAGAGTGGAGTAGAGAGGGAGAATCACTTTCCTTGCCCTGCTGGCCACGCTGCTTTGATGCAGCTCAGGATGCGGTTATCTTTCTCAGCTGCAAGTGCTCATTGCTGGGTCATGCGTAGTTTTTCACCCACCTGTACCCCCAAGTCCTCCTCCCTGCATCCCTCAGCCTGTATTGATATTTGGGGTTGCCCTGACCCAGGTACAGCACTTTTCACTGGACCTTGTTGGACCTTGTGAAGTTCCCATGAATCCACTTTACAAGCTTGTCCAGGTGGCTAATAATTTCAGCACCTTCTTGCTTTGGCTGTATGCTTCAGAAAACTGTGAACAAGCATCAGTCTCAGTAAAAGTGTTGGTAGGATGTGGAGTAGATGAAGTTCTTCTCATACCTTGCTGTTAGGACTTTTGTGTTGCTGTGGGAGGCACAGGCCCTGAGTTGCTGGAACACCTCTTCAGAACTGTTTGTGATTCTACAAAGTATGATGTTTAGAGCCATGCTGTGTCCATGCTCAGAAGCCTGTAGTGATCGGACATTGGAGAAAAAGGGGAAGACTTCATCACATCAACTCAAATAGTGCTTCCTTACTCATAAATATTCTTCTGAACCTCATGCTTTCCCTGCTTGCACAATTAGTTACAGGTGGGTCAATTTGATTTACTAAACCAGCTTCTTGGAAACTAGGGTCACAGATATGTGTGTTGGATGTGCACGTTGATATTTGGCTGGGTTGTACCAGTTTTAGGAGTGCAGGAGTGTTCCCCAGGTCCCTCATCACGTAAAGTCACTGATTTTGCCTGGTGTCTTCCACCTCCCTTGGGCTCCCTTGTGTTATGAGGCCTCATAACAGCTCTTAAGTTAGAGAGACTTGTGGTTGCCATATGTGCTGGGCTGCTTGTGATTTCTGCCCATACACAGTTTATCTATGGGCATGAAAGCCAAATCTGCCAAACATTTGCCAGATCTTTCCAGATCTGAAGCAGCCCAGTCAGAGCAGTAGTATAAGCCTGTCCCTGGGTATCTGTAAGTCTGTGTACTCTTATTTGAATTCAGAGAGCATCTCCACAGAATATGCATGGCCCATCTGGCACATCCTAGAAATCTGTAGATTTATATCTAAGAAAAACTATATCCCAAGGAAAGTGATGCATCCCACATTACTATTGTGCTTGGGATAGTCTCTGGGAAGTAATTTGCAGCCGACCTCATGGTGCATGCACTGGAAGGAGAATTTTCTGGCCTGAGAAGGGAGCTGATGTGCTATATACTTCATTGTGTTAGCACACTAGTGCACCAGCACTTTTAGTCTTTCTCGTCTTGGAAGTCTTAGCTAATAATAATTTACTGTATTGAAATATTAATCAATGCTGCAGTGTTAGATGGATCCTCTGTTGATACTGACGAATGATGCACTGAATGAGTTCTGAGGTATTGTTCTGAAACCTTGAGCTCTTGTTTTTCTGTAGTGTCAGTGTTTTAGGGACAGACAATTCAGTGTTACTGTTGCAATTCTTAATTGTTGCAGAAAATATTGCTTGTACGCATTGGAAGGTCAGCAAAATAGTAGAACAGCATAATCTCTGTGGGTCATTGAAACACGTTCCTTGTGGTCTTTTGGAGTTCAGGATTATTACTTCATTGCTGATTGACATCTTTAAAACATTGGGTCTTTGAATTTGTGGAGAGGAGCAAAAGAAATGGATATAACAGCTAGTGGTGATTCTGTTTCATTGAGCAAATCAAGAGCCTGGATGCTTAAACTTGTATAGCAGTGAGAACTGGGTTTGGATTCTCCTAGATCAGGCTTACCAGTGAGTGGTGGTAGTGATGGATTCAGTTTTCACTGCTTCTGTATTTTTTAGAAACATGTGGCCCACATGATGTCAAAAAATCCAAAACCTCCTAGCAAGAAGCTTATTTGAAATACCTGCAAAGGTGAATTTTTCTCCTGATAGATGGTTGGTTGCTTTGGACTTCGTACACAATACTTAAAAACTCCATTGTAGCCTTAATGTAGCAGAGTGCTTACTTTGGTGCATGGTGGCTTTTCAAAATCTTATGAAAGAGTCTATCCTGCTCCCTAATTTAACGCTGTTCTTCACTGGGTGGCCTGTGTGTAGTTTTATTAACTGCATGCTTTCGTGGAAGCATTCTAATGTCTTGCGGGTTTTGGCATGGCCACTGTTGGTTTGCTTGTCAGAAAAAATGAGTAGAAAGTATGACAGTCATACTTGTTCACATTTGCTCCTTTCTGCTTGGTGCCATGGATTTAAACTGGGATGGCTACTGGGAAGCGGACTTTGTGGGTAGAAGGACTTGGAGGGATGAGGGAGGAATCTAGCACAAATGGTTTGTCACTGAAGTACTGAATGGAAAAGCCAGTCTATGAAAAATGGAATATCTTCTGTATTAAGCCCCTTCATTTTTAAAGACACATTCTAAAAGCATTTAAGCCCCAAATATTAATGCACATTCAAAACTGTATTTTTTATGAAGAAAATAGTAGTGGAGGTCAGAATTCTAGCAGGGTTCCTTTAAAATAGTAATGGCTGTCAGGTGATGCATTATCTGGCAGTTAATGGAGTAGCAGGGGTCCTGGTACTAGAATCTTAAATGCCAAGAAATAAAAAAGCCAAATGTTGTCATAAATACTCTGCACACTGGTAAAAGATGAAGGTGAAACTGGAGATTCAGGCTTTACCTTTGTGCTCAGAATCTCCTTTTTCATAGAGAAATGAGAGATAGTAGTGGAATGTGAAGGGTAAGGTAATGTTCTATCTAAAGAAAAATGACAGATACTAAACTTAAGTAATTATGAGTAATAAAGAAATTGCAAGATTTATTTTAATTCATGGTATCTCTTTGTCTACTTTAAAAATTTTTAATATGCTCCTGCTCTGGTGTTCATAAAACAACTTAGGATCTAAAGACCCAGAACTGTACTGAGAAGAAATAAAAAATAACCACCTCTAATCATCAGATTTGTATTTACAGTTACCTTCATTTAATGCAATGTAAACATGAAAAAAAACCCCAAAACCATTTGTGGGGAGAAAGAGAGGGAAGAAAGCCCTCACCTAAAGCTGAGAATGTATGTTGAGGACCTTTGGCCTTTTGCTTTAATACTGTTAAAAAAAGAAAAAGAAGAAAAGAAAAAGAGCTAAAGCAGAATTTTTGTATTGCTACTGCAGACTGGTTATTATATGAATCATCACAAAACTGGTAATCCTCAAAATCTGAGGCTTTATGCGGAGTCCAAAGGTAACAAACTCCAAGTAGCAGGTAGTGGCTGGAGCAGCCCTGTTTATGGCATTGGGACTGCACAAATGAGGAGGGGCTGCAGAAACCAACTCTGCCCCGAAACCCAGCTCTGTTGTGCTGCTGGTCTCTCTTGGGGAAGGTGGGAAGGAAAGGCACTCTGCAGCATTCCAACCAAAGCAGAAGGTCACTGTTTCACCTTCCTGCTTCACAGGATGAGAAGACCTGTTTTGCCCATGTGGTCAGTCCTGACCTTGCTGAGCAGTTGTGCTCCTGCTGGGATGTGTGTCCAGCTGGGATAGATGTTTAGTCCAAGGAACATTGAGGTCACTTATATGTCTCTGCACCAGCCATGCTCTACTCTTGTCAGGGAAGAAATCTGCCCTTCAGGGCTTCCCTGCTGTGATGCCATTCTGTGCTGCTGCCAATGTGGAGCTATCCCTTGAAGACACAAGAATATGTGTCCCTCAATATTTGTCTGAAAAGCACCGATACTTCCTTTCCTGTTTAGATCTGTGTCAATGAAAAAGAATGCCTGTGAGCTAAGTGATTGTAAACCCAGTGTGAAGAAGATGTGAATAATGCAAGCCCTCATGTTAAAACTATCTGTTTTTTTCCCACCCTTTGCCTTGCTGGTCTGTAGGTAAGATTTCTTAGTGGGTGAGGTGATTGATAGATCTGGTTGGTCTTTTATTGAGTAATCCAGAATGGGTGATAGCAGTGCATCAGTTCTACTCAAATCTGAAAGAGCCTGAAGTTCATGCATTTTTCAGCCTGCTGTAAATACTGTCTCATAAATATCAGTGGTCCTGAACCCCACAGACTCTGGCATCAGCAGAAGCCTGCTCTGGCTTTCTTCTGAGTGCAGTTTTTAAGCTGTCTCCAGAGAGTTGTTTAGTCTTGGCAAGTAAAGTGACTGAAAATCCAGTAAGTGATCTTTATGAGCATCATTTAAATTCTCTGTATTGTATTTGAATACTAATCCCTGGCCAGGCCTGTGCTGTTCTTTCTACTTCCTAGTTCTGAGCTAGTTCATTCTTAGTTTCGTGTTGCTCTGTCCCCTTTCAAGTCCTTTGGCTGAAGGCTGAAAGCTGAAGTGATGAAGACCCCGATCACAGCTACTCAGCTGCTGCTCTGCTGGAAGAGGTCAGTGCAAACAAGAGGGTCAGAACAACATGTTCATTCTCCTTACTGCAGAAATAAGTGACCTCCTAGGAGAGCCCTAGTGTGCACACATAAAATTAAGTTTTGATGAATGAAGGGTAATCTGAAGGAGGAGGAGAGAGAAGATGGAGTTTCAGGCCAGTCATAGTTCACCTTATCCCAGGCCAGTAGGGTTGCCAGTTAAAAAGGTACCTTTATTTATATTTCAACAGCCTTGTGAATGAAATAAGAGCATTTACCCTAAGGACAAGGTTAAAAAAATCCTCAAAGGATTAGGCTTATGATTAATTCTTTTGTAGATAAAGCAATGTTGCCTTTTAGGGTTTCTTTTGGTCTTGGTGGTGTGTGGTTCAGCTAAAACAGAAACATTGTGCTGTTTCCTATGGGTCTTTACTACTTGGTAAAGTGTCATGTAATGATGCTTGTCCTTTCTTAATTTCATGCTTTTCTTTTGATGCTTCTTCATAAGATGACTAATGTTGGATTCCACTCCATTGCCATGGAAAAGTCATATTCAACCAGACAAGAGAAACACAGAAAGAATCTCTTGGACCTAGGTTTTAATCTGCTGATTTGCTGTACAAGTATATCTTGAAAAAACATACCCTCATTCATACATTCACACACATCCCCAAACCCTTCCCAGTCTATGACCCTGTTCTTGAAAAGCTATTTCTAGCCTTAATTGTAGTTTTTAAGAGAGATAGAGTCTTTGAGACATTGCTCCGGCAATGTCTGCTGAAAGACCCTTGCTAGCTAAGGGTTCCTTTCAGCTTCCTGTGGTGTTTCAGCCTTGCATTGCATCTGGAGCTCAAGTACTTGTGTGCAGTGGGGAGAGCTTTCCTCTTTTTGTTATTCTGGGATTTGGTTCATCAGAGTGCAATAAGAACATGAACTTGCAGGAAATTCTTTTCCTTTTGAGAGAGAGATTTTGGAAATTAATACTCAGCCAAGTACCCTCTATTTCATTATTTCAATTGCATAGATTTAACCAGGTTTAGTCACTGGACGTGACTGCAGTAGAAGAGACTGTAATTTTTGGAGAACCATTCTAGAGATGGAAAAGGAAAACATAATTCTCTTCACAAAATCTCTTTTTTGAAAAGAAATACTTCCCGGTTACCAAATGCAAACAAGTTAGGTACCACCATCTGCTGTCAGTGTAGCAGATCCCATATTAAGGAATGCCTGTGTGGCCATTCCATCAAATAAGAAATTAGTAATATATTTAGTGTAATTGAATATTTGTGGTAATGTGTATTGCTGATAATGCATACTGACAGTAAGCTCTGAAAATATCAACCTGAATATTTTCTGACAAAACTTGCCATGTGGCAAAGCATACATTTGCCTGTAGTCATTTAAAAATTGATGTGGTGTCCTTGAGTGGTTTCCTGAAGCATAGTGCTGATTTATGAGCCAGTCATCTAAAGAAAAAATAGATGCGTCTCTTGTGAAAGAAGTGTTGAATACCTTCCACATACTTACATTTCTATGTGTATATATTTTTAGTGCTTGTTGAACCTGCAAGGGTGTCTTTGAATCCTTTCATTAATTTTTTTTTCTTAATATAAAAAAATACAAAATACAGCTGGTTTCCA